CACTTAGAATTTTATTTCCCTCTCCTCACTTTTTGAGGTCTTTAACTTTATTCCAGGGCAACTGTGGCAGAGAATCCCAAATGAAGAAATTAAACTAGACCTTGGGTCTCCAGCACACACAGCTACTTCTTCCAGCCACCGTAGAAATCACACGTATTTAGGTACTAATGACACAACCAAACGTGCTAAAAAGGCTCTAGAGAAGACAGATCAGGACATCTTCAGAGGTTTAAAATTACAAGCCCATAGGTACATCACCACACTGTGCTACTTACACACAACCTGAATCACTGATACAATAAATCCTAACTAGTGCTTTTCTCTTTTTATAGCCCGTACAACCACTTTGTACTTCTTATTATTCATTTTCCAGCTTTGTCACAGCAGCTGAAACGATTTTTCTTTCTCTACAAGCCCTGGATGAAGCTTTTCAGTGTGAGGGTCAAACTAGAACGCAGCAGAGAGCAAAATAAATGCAGCCCCATGGAAAAGAAAGCTTTTTCCAGCCTCCTCCCTCTGAGCTCTGCTATCCAAAGGGAAACCAATACCCCTGAGAATCTGTTTGGGCTTCTAGGCACAACTGATAAGATTTAGGGAAGGAGCCAACTCTACTTCCCCTGTAAATCTAATAATCTGTCTAGCTAGATGGATTATTCCCCATGACCGCACAGGGTGATCCCCAAGGAATAGAGCAGCTTTGCAAAGAGCTGTTCTTCCCTGGCCATTTATATCAATTAATAAAAACAAATCTAAGTTCACATACCTACTAGCACAAGGTTGTGTTCTCACAGCAGCCGACCCAAGCAAATGAAATTTTTGGCTCCCTCCTCCTCACCCCCTTTTCTGTGAAACAAGTTTTGTTTAAGACATCCTTAAGTGACACAGAAAAGCAAGTGTGGTCCCATCCTGGGCACCAATAATTCAGCAGAGTATCGAGCAGAAACTCTGAGTGTTCCATTTGTGCATCAATATTAAGACAGGACGTTGCTTCCTTCATCCCAAAGTCACCCCTGGGTACTTGCTGTTATCCTGCTGGTGGGCAAGCGCCCTGTTACATGGGATGAACGAGTTCAAACGTTCCTATCGGACACAGAAGCAACTTCTGGTGTCCTATAACATGTTCCAGCACAGAACTGTCACTAGGCTGCAAGCTTTGTGTCCCAAGGTTAAAAAAAGCTCTCCGAGAGGCTCTGCAGACTTGCAGCTCTGCTTTAACTCCAAAACCCTCATCCATTACTGCTCCAAATGGCTGTTCCACTGCTCCCAGCTGCGACAGCCCCGAGCAGCAGGTATTTTTAACTTTGTTGTCTTGGTGTATGCTAACCAGAGCTGGAAAACACTCATTAGCTAGAAGAGGAAGAACCACAGATCTCTCATGAAAACACAACCAAGTAAAAATAAGTGTAAAGCTAAACACTCTCAAGGCAGGAGTTGACAGAGATGAGCTAGAAGGGACATTTATTTTGCAGCACCAGGCGATTTGAGGCTTTTCAGGAAAAAAAAGGTGGATGCCTCAAACAGTTCATCCGGACACACCACTTCTGTTCACTTTCAGTGGGGAGCAGAAGCCACAAGGTCGCTACAACATTGCATTAACTTGCCTGATCTGATTAGGGTAGGTTTAATTTCTGCTCTAGTCCAGCTCTGAAATGGATTTCAGACTGATGGAGATAAAACGGAGTCCCCATTACCAGCCTATTTTCAGGCCTGCCTAGATTCAGATATCCTGAGAAAGTTACCTTGATATTTTATGGCTCAAATATAACGTTCATATTCTTAATCCTGTGAGAAGAAATCAGGCTACACACTTAAATAATTCACACTTAAGAATAAACAATCTACATAAAATATAAACCGCAATGAGAGCTAACACAAGCTATAAAAAGCTACGAAATTCAACTTTTGCCTTTAAAAGTACTTGTTAAATACCAAATTGCTGCAGTCACAGAATAGGAATACATCATTTGCTGGGCGAGTGAGACACAGGTTGCAAAGCAAGGTACCAGCAAAGCTGGAAAGAGCCCTGGGAACAGGCCCTGCTGTGACTTCCAAACCCTCCAACTTCCACTGACACCACAAAAAGTAAAAGGCTGCTCCCTTCTGCCAATAAGCTCTTTAGGATAGAGATTACATGTATATATACACATACACATGCGTGTGTGCACATATATGCACACATTTTCATGACAGCTTCTATTTACTACTGGGCAGTGCGGCTAACTTGGATGACCCTGAAACGAGAGTCAAATTTTAGGATGCATTTGGAGGTACTTGGAGCCTTCAGAGGAAGGAAGCACACAGTTTCAGACAGTCAAGTCCGATTAAAGACAGAAACTTACAGTTTCTGTCTAATAAAAGAAACACTTGTATGCTTGAGAGTTTGTAGCCACATTTTTATTAGAGACTGTGAATTTTGCCTCTTGATAAGGGCGCTGTGCTAAGGCCCGTGAACACCAAGTTACCTTTAGAAGCGAGTAGGGCAGCATGACCTCCAGCTCGGCGATGCGGTGAGCAGGGTCTTCGCTGTCCCCGTGAACTTCCAGGTCCTCCTCCGGGATGGTGTCCCACTGCCCTCGGTGGGCTGCCATCATATGGACCAGTTCGTACTGCTCCGGCAGCGCCAGGCTAACCCGCGTCTGCAGCCCGTGCGTGAAGCGGATCCGGCGCCTCCTGCAATTCTCCTCGCTGCTGATCTTGGTGGTCGGGAGCAGCTTCTCGCCCAGGAGCATGTTGAGCAGCTGGCACTTGGCGTTGCAGCTCTGGCCCAGGATCAGCAGGCAGGGGTGCCAGCTCACCGTCTGCTGGAGATGCTCTTCCTCGTGGCGAGGGAAGGAGATGAAGCTCTGCCCTGGAATCGAGAACAGAGCGTGTTGGAAGGGCTGGATGAACACGAAGGCTCTCAGCAAGCTGTACCCAGAAGTGCAGAGACACCAGGGTACTCAGTGGAGTCTGAAAGGAAACACAGAACCTCAGTCTTTTGACAGCACGAGTAGAAGCCTCTCCATCCTGAATGGAGTAAGCTACGTGGTGAACTCGGCACAGTTTATATTCTCACCATTTAAGTAAAATAAACAGCTAAAAGAAATTAAAGAGCACTCATGTCTTCCACACAGGAGCCAGAAATCCCTGTAGCCTCCCTGCTTCCCCAGCTCCCACCTGAAGCATCAATTAGAACATCCCACTAAGCAGCCCCTTGGAGCTCTGGGTCTGCTATGCTGGAACTCCTGGCATTTGCCTTGCTGCATTCATGCCAGAGAAAACAGTTTCAGCGTTGAATTTAGCTTCTGAATTCTTTACAAGTACTAAACACAGCTTTTTCCATGTTCAGTCATCTAAGCTGAAGTCTAAGAAGCTTTGAGTTACCTTATGCATAGCAACAGAATAATTCTGGCAGCACAAAAAAAAAAAATGGATACAAACAAATTCCCCATCTGCTTCACTTCAGCACAATTGCAGCGAGTACAAAACAGCTAGTGTTCTCCTACAGCCAAAGATCTAGTCCGTTTTTCCAGATCTGGAGGCAGATGGCACCCAAGAATGGAAATGACAGATGAAGACACCAGTCCTAAAAAGAACTGCCAAAATTGAAAGCTCTAAACCAGTATGGTTATTATTACACCAGGCAAAGTGACAAGAATGCCAGTGTAAAGAATAGACCCGACTACAATACAGTAGAAAAGGACCAGCAGGGATGTTGTAGAGGAAGGTCTTGTCTCTCAAGAGTTATTAAAATTCTTTTAATGAGTCATGTACTCTGGCATCCAAAATTATTTCAGCATCTCAAGCTTCAAGCAAACAAGACACTACAATATACCCAGATAATTCCTCAGCAGCAGTAACCAGATTAAAGACAGCACAACAGTTATTCTAAGTCTCATTTCAATAGCTCTCCATTCCTCCGTTTGAGTTACGCTCACTCCAACTAGGAGCAGCACCACTTGTAGCTGGTTGTGTCTATGCAGCCAGGACCCACTTCAAGGTTTCCTTAAGGTCTTGTTTAATATTTAGCTTTGGGGATTTCAGCCTGAAGTCTGGGAACGGCGGTGCTTGAGGAATCCTTGTTCATCAGACGATTCCTTCCATCCTAAGCAGCTCAACAGAGCAGAACTCCTCCGTGCAGCCAACCACGGGGAGCAGCAGCTCTGTCCCCAGGCCCCGCAGAGCGGAGCCCGAAGACCCCGTTACTGAGTTCACACACAAACTCCTCTTGACATGGCAGGAATTGCTGCAAAAGATTGAGACATCACTTCCTACAGCAGGACTCTTCAGGGCTGCTTCTTAAACAAGCCTTTCAGGACCCCAGCGACGGCGGCCACATCAAATGACTGGAGGCTACAGTCCAGCCAGCAGCTTATGCAAGACAAAAACAACCAAACCCCACAGATGCCTTCATCCACGAGATAAAGAATTGCTTTGATCTGGTTATATCTACTGAAACATCAGTCGGAATCCAAGCTTGTTCTCCAGATGCCAAGCATGGAAACACGCAGCTCAGGACAGGAACGGATTTCACGCGCTCCTCGTTCGGGGCAGCCTCTGCGTTTACACAGCCCCATAACCAGAACAGAACGACTGAAATACAGAACTTATCAAGCACAGAATGCCTTTATAAACACTGCATCTCTTAACAGCCTTTCTTTTCTGTGTCCAAAACCTCCTGGGGGTCAGCGTTCAGTCAACAAGGGAGCTCACCACAGCCCATACATCAGTGCTGAACCCGTTATATTTAATTTATGTCCTCTGGCAGAGTTCCAGGTGTGCTGGCTACAAGCATGGACCCTACCCCAAAAGGAAGGTTCAACTATATCATAACTAACCCCATGTACCAACAAGGCCCTCAAGTCATGGCAGTGGCCTCAAATCCAGCACCAAATATCCAAGCATATTAGTATTTCCTCCTAGACATATAGGATAAATACATTAATGCAACACCCAGTGCGCTACCAAGGCCACCAATCTAAACAAAATTGCATGGGGGAGAAATACGACCTGGGATTATAGTGCTAACTCAATAGAAAACCTACCTAGAATTTGCTTATGGAGAGAGGCAGCTCTGTCCCTGCACTGTTACAACCAAGGGCTGCTTTTGTCAGGCCCTTTGACAAAGATTTGAGCTGCTGCTAAACAGCGTGTCCATGCACCGTGTCCGAGCCATGTGATAAACACTTCAAAAACAGGCCCCCGGGGGAATCCCGGAGCGCGTGCATCCCATCAGCTTTTTTGCCTTGAAAAAAGAAGGCCTGTCCAAGAACAAGGAGCTCTCTCACCAAGAGCCACCTCCAAATTCAATCCAACACTTGCTGGGAACAAGCTGAGTTTGAATTTATAGGACCTGTGAAAACCCTGTGCACTTAGCAATTGATTTAAGGAAAGCTTGCTGCATTTCCAGGCTCTTGGCATTCTATTACTCCTCAAAATTGCATGTGAACAACAAATTAAGGCCAGACCCTGACACTTCTCATTCTCTTCTTAAGAGGAGATTCTTACATCTTTGTGGCTCTTCCAATTTCAGCAGACACTCCATATAAATAAGGCCAAAGGAGTAGAAACAGGCACAGGAGGAAAAAAGTGCTCCTAGGAAGCCAACAGGGCTGAACACTTGTTCTTTATTGCAAACATCAGAATGAAGAGAAACACCAAGGCCCAACACCATGTCCCTGAACCTCCAGTAAAAACAGAGTGCAGGATTTCTTAGAAAGTGGCAAATATGGCTCAAATGCAGAGAGATCTGTTTAGATGTGCTGTTTATCTGCCGAGCTTGAGGCACCACAAAGACCAGAGAGAGTCAGGGACGAAACCTGGTTTGAGGGCGGCGATGGAGAACTGCAGCCAGTTCCACTGCACTCCAAGGAGGCAGTCATTAAAACTCCTGAAACAGGAGACCGGAGCCTGATTTTGGAAAAAGTTTAAAGAGGAGCCACTACACGGACACCCACTTCAATGCTGTGCAGAAGGACCCCTCGTTTTAAACCCACTTGCAAAACCAAATGGGTCGGCAGCTGCAGCAAGGTCCCTGCTCGCACACAGGCAATGGGCTGCAGAACGCTTTGACCACCACCAGATTTGTAATTAACATAATTACAGAAATGAAGCGGAGTCCTCCCCACATCCACGAGCATGGTGCCCTAGCTCCATGCACACGAAAACACTGGTAGCTCCCCAACAGCCCAGGATAACCAAAGATCTGCCAGATCTTGGGGGTTTTAGGGCTGCTGCTTAACTTGAACATGTGCTAGGGCCTCCCTGCCTCAGCTGAGAAGTTTTTTCTCCAATATCCTCCCCACAAGCTGGCATAAAACTCACCTTCTTGTGTTGACCCTCCCAGCAGCACAAGAGCAGCCTTAATCTTTGGAGGATCACAGCAATATAGACAGAGCAGTCACATTCTAACCAGGATCCACACTTGGCCAACACGCTATCAGGGCGAAGCCCCTTCAAACCCTCTCACTAAGAGCTCCACGATCCGTCGGCCTGCGGGTTCATCGGGTTCCCAGGACGAGGGGTTTCACCCTCACTCATTAAGGTACCTGCAGAGCTGCAAGCCTGACCCCAGGGAGATGCACATCCATCCAGAGGTGGTTGCTTCAGTCTGCAGCAAGTTCTGAAGCAAGACAGAAGATGTATGAAGAAACTCCGGTTCCTAGGGCCAACGGTCTGCATTATTTCAAGCAGGGAACGAAGAAAACAGAACTACAGTTATTTCAAAGCACGGCTGCTTTCTCGCTTTACAAACAGTAGCCAAATCTGCTATCGCATCCCCGATGGGGACCTTTTTATTTCTAAGTCAGTAAGATAACAGCAGGTAACAGCACCAAGAACACACACGTGAAAAGCAGCTGCCAGGTTCAAGCTAGAGGACTGCAATGACACTAACAAACCAATGTAAAAAGCACTGTTCATGGCAAGGCAGACTCCCTAGGGCAGCACCTTTCCCTGCCATCATTCCCTTGCAGGTGTCTCAAAAGCCAGCCAGGTATTTGCTTTGTTTCTAAGACACTTATATTTACTTTTCACAGTTGCAAGTAAGATGAGACCAGTCCATTTCACTTCCCAATTCCAACACACTTTACAAAGCACTTGCACTCGAGCTCAACACACTGCAGAGCATCACCCTGCATTTATTGTTTGCATGAACAACCTCCGGAGCAGCCGGGCTTTCTTTCAAGCCCTGACTTAAATGACAACCAGCGACAGCAGGAAAGACAAACCAGGCCAAGGTAGATGCTGCAAAGTAGCAGAATTCAGCCCGTATCAGGAACAACAGGCAGAACATTCGGTGCAACCTGCACCCCATGTCAAACGCTTAATTCATAAAGCAGACTTTCAAGGAAACTAGCAACATTTCTTTAGGAATGAGCTAAAGAGCAGTAACACCAGGGCAGCACCACCCCATCAGCAAGGCGACTCAAAGAGAAAGAGCAAAACCAACCAGCTCCTACTTCCTGGAAATGACAGAAAGATGTAAACAAATAGACTCTGAGACCAGGTTTTTACCCAGCTTCCCGCTTCTACTCTGCAGGCTTACACAGGGCACCGTTTTTGGACAAAAACAGGCAGAAGAGCTCAACATTTTAATTTTCAAGGCATAATCGTGAGCATAAGACAAGCATGGACAAGTATCCTGGACGAGTAGCCAACAGAGATGACTCATGAGCCACTTGGGAATGAATAAAGATCTTTATGTATAAAAAAGCGCCCGGCTAAACTCTTCTCATGGGACAGTCTTATGGAAGACGAAGCTGCGTGCACAGCAGGAAGGCCCCAGCGGGAGCCGCGCTCGGAGCAGGAGGAGGAAGCACCGAGGCCGCCTCCACCGAGCGGCAGGGGGCCACCGGGGGCGCCCCCGCGGCCCCCGCCC